CACTGTCAACAGATGCCTCCTGAGTGACTGTAGCATAGTGGTACTCTATTAGGTATTGCATAAGATATGGTCCCATAACTCACAAAATCATCCAGGCCAGAAATCCAAAAGGCATCCTAGGCTTCTCTTATTTTCATTGTGTCCTACTAATTTTATCTATGCAATCTCCCTCACATTTGCTCCCCTCAGGAGCAAATCCTACTGCTTAAGTTCAGACCTTCATCTTTGCCTTCTAGGACCATGACGACAGCCATTTCAAGTTCCTCCTCTGTAACAGTCTTGGTTTTCTCAACCACTTTTGCCACATCATCAAAAGACTTTTTTTCCCCAAACTGAAAATCTAAAGGTGTTGTTTTTCTGCTCTAACTCTGGTATTCTCAATGTCTAGGATGGATTTCATACTCCACTTGTAACCTATAGCTCTCTCCATCACTTGACTTTGCTGTCTGACCAATCTTATCAACACTACATCTGCTCACTGAATTCCAGCCTATGGAATTATTGAAGTCGTCTGACTGTGACAGCAAAGGTAGGCAGTGATTAAACGTAGGAGTTGTAGGGGCTGGGCATGGTGGGAAACGCCTATTATCCCAGCTACATGAGATTCCATAGTAGGAGGATCGTGGATGAAAGTCAGCCCTGGTAAAGTTAATGAAAGACTCTATTTGAAAAAAAAAAACTAAAACCAAAAGTACTGGGTGCATGACTCAAGTAGCAGAGTGCTTGTGTTGAGGCCCTGAGTTCAGTCCTTCGGCACTGGGAAAAAAAGTGAGCTCTAGAGTTAGATAGACTTGAGTTTGATCCATTGATTTCCCCACTGACCACATATGCAGTCCAAGGCGCACTTACCACTATTTACCTAACCTAACCTGCATAATGGCAACAATGCGTGTTTGCTGCGTGTGAGGAATGAGTGAGATAGCACAGGGAAGGGCTAGCGTATGGGCATGCACTAAATATGAAGTGGTGCTATGTGGAGTTCGTTCCCAGGAATACTTCCCTTTTCCTTCTTGATAACCTCTGCCCTCTTGACACTGCAGGGTGTAAGGACGCTGTTCCATGGCTCTGTTGTCAGTGAAAATAAACTATCAGCACCTGGGACCCTTGTAGACATCTCAGCATCTGTGCCTTATGGCTATATGCTTTTTTCCCTTCACAACTGGGAAGAATTTTAAAGACAAGAACCAAAATTTTCTTGTTTGGTTCCCCACATCCTACAACATGGCCTGGCTCAGTAGAAAGCTCAGCAATTCGAAGAGTGTTAAGCTGAACTAAATTCACAGGCTTGGATGGAACTGAAAGAATCTATCAACTTCTCTTCTTCTGATTCTATTTTCTAAACAACTTGAAATATTTTAGATAAATTTTCCAAACACTAAAGATTGACTGGCATACAACTAAATAGTGATATTTGTTAATTTTTGGTTTCTCTAATTTTTGTGAAGTAGACTGGACAAAGGGTATCCAAAGTACTAAGTTATATTTCTCTTTGCAAATTAAAAAAATCAGTACTTCAGACTGTCAGTCCATTTATTGTGGGTTTGGTTTTCATGAATCATGACAATTGTTTGCTTCCGCCAGCCCTTGTAATTTTTCTCTTTACTCATTGGAAAGAAATTAAATATGAAAATGAATAGAAAACGGTATACACAAGCCCAAAAAAATAAAATGAGGTAACCTCATTTGCACAGAAGGAGTCACAAAATGCATGTTCTAAAGAATTTTATTTCACAAAATAAAAGATGAAATCTGCCTCTCAGAAGCAGGGTCCTCAAAACTTAGCTTTTACTCAGCATTGTGCTGTAGCAAATACATCTTATAAGTCTGACTGATTTAATTGTGTTGGTTTTAATTTATGAGCCACTGAAACTTATTTCAGGAAGCAATATAAAATAATTGATAGTAAAAATATTATGGAGCATAAAGTCCTTTTCCTTATTATTTCATTTCTTTTTTAGCTAATGTAGGATTGCATTTAATGCCAGTAAGTTTTCCTTTCTTTCAACATAGTGAAAACCTGTCTAATTATGAAATTTTTAAATGGCTAAATCCTTTGCTATTTATTTTAATTCAAATCCAGTATATTATTATATATATTCAGAACTCAAACTATTCATCTTCATCTAAACCTTCAATTAAATTCCACAATGCAAACCTCTTGGCACTGGAACCACGTTTCATGTTTATTCAACTGAGCCTGTGTCTTGAAAAAGTGTTGAAGTTTGGGGGTTTTCGGGTGAGAAAGCCTCATTCTGACATCACCCTGGCCACGACAGTGATTGGCTGATGGAAGGCAAAGAAGGGTTTATAGCCAGCAAGAGCAAGTGAATGAGTGAGTGAGAGAGCAGAGCAAACAATCTGTGTCACTCACTCACTGAGCCTCCTCCTCTCCCCAGAACTGCCAAAGGGTAAGATTTGACACTTCGTTATCTTACAGTTAGACACTCCAAGTTTACATCTCTGGGCTCGACTTTGAATTTGCAATTAAATATGCATCTTATTGCACTGTGTAGCATAGCTTATGTGATTTAACATTTGCTTACTATTAAATGAGTATCTCTGATTTTAGATTCTTCTCAAAAGACTGAGCTTGTTAACTTAGGTATGTAAATAAACCCTTAATAATTATGCTTCTTACTTTCTATTTCTGCACATAATAGGCAACTGTTTCTCATTCTGATCTATTGAATATAACCTGACCAAAATACTATTTTATATTTGCAAATCTGCCTAGATATATTCAGATTTCTCCATAAATTATTCCTAGTTTGTATTTCAATCATATATAATATTTTTTCAATATGTTATACATTAAGGCTCAAAATATTAATATGTTTTAGCTCTAAAATCAGTATGGAAAATACAAAGTACTAGAGAAATAAGTAATTTGGTACCTTGTCGTGCTCTTCCCAATAAAAGCTTGTAATTAGATTCTTAAAATGGTCATTTAAGGATGTTTCAGTTGTTTTCTTAGTCAGCCCTGGGCACTATAGAGGTCTTTGTTTTTTGGTGAATCATGAAGTAAATAAAATGAGATTTATTTTAGGTAGGCAGCCAGTTTCTGTCTACATGAATCATTTGGTTCTTCAAAAATATTTTTTATCCCTCCAATAGTGTCATCTAGTTATTTTATGATGTGTTATGAGAAATTTATGTCATCACAACTCATTCTACAGTTCTGTGCATTTAAGTTTTTAGCTCTTTAAATATTATAACTATTCTAATTATTTTCATAGCTACAAAGTGATAATCTTCCTGCTTGCTGATGGGCTCCACCAGGGGCAGCAAAAATCAGTTTATTATTTTGAACACCCCAACTGTCATTAAAGTTTCTTAAACAGGTAGAGTCCTCTTCAGGAACAAAGCCTCTTTATGCCCACGTGCTCATCAAAACCATTTACTAAGACAGAGGGGTCTGTGAGGAAGCATCTAAGCATCAAAATCCAAAGAGCCACTTGGTCACAATAACCGAGTGTGACCTCGGGTCCAAGGTGGCCTCATGCCAAATCCTGCTCAATGTTTACTGAGTATCAGATGCTCAGTATGCATGTGATGACTCCTGAGTGATGAGAATAAAATTTGAAACCTACCTACAGGGCACAGTAGATGACATGGGTTTTGTCATTTGAAAGACTACTTTTTGAAGTGTTTTTATGGGAAATTGGCCTCTTCATTATATGTTGCTTCTAAAATGTTGCCAAACTGTCTGCAGGCATGAGATTGCTCCATCAGTTAATGTGTACACAAATGCAAGTGTCACTAGGCTCTCAGTCAAGAGTCTTCAACCTCTACATGATAGAATTTTCAATTTGTAGAAATGGAAAATGGTAAAATTTCACTCTCTTCTTTTTACTTATGAGGAATCTTTGTGGAACCGAAGATCCCTGCATTGCTGAAACCCCAGGACTGTTCAGGACTGTCCCCACCTTAGAGCTGCATCTCTATAGAATCAAAATCTCCACCCATAGCTACCACCCCCTACCCCAAAGAACCTCTGATCCATTCTATTTCAGTCTCCATAGTAACTGATGAAAAGCTTAAATAGAGCTGGAGAACATCTAATTTGAGGAAATTTGTCCCTGACATCTCACCACAAGATTCTGAAGATCTCTTCTCATAGAATCATTTTTAGGCAAGCACTTGGCTGCTACATGTCCTGAGGATAGTATTTCATGTACTGTGGATCATTTCTCTCCTCTCTCTATTTCTGTCTGTCTTTCTGTGTCTGTCTGCCTGCCTGTCTCTTTCTCTCTCTCATACACACACACACACACACACACACACACTATTCCAAGATAGTCATAGAAAAATGCCTTCTACCCCTTATTGTACAAATTAACTGTTAGTTTGAAATCTATGCATGGCAGCTGGAAACTTCTGGTTGCTCATTGCATTCAAGTCACCATTTAAGTATATTCAGATTTGCTTGGGTTTGAATTATAAATGAACAGGGCAGAGAAGTACACTAACAATTCATTCCACTAAGTTGACACTCCCTTGTCAATGCTACTGAGAGGCCACCTCCCCCAGTGTGAAACTTTGAGTATTCAAAACTCCTTTTAGTGGTGTAATGATCTTCCATGACAAATCACAGCAAAACAGACTAAAATTAAATGTGCAACTCAAGACTGTTCAAAAAGGTGGGCAAAGTCACTCTTCAACAGTTTAAGTGGAAGGAAGAATTTGAAAATAAATGCAGAGTTTGTGTGTGTGTTCCTGGGGATTAAACCCAGGACCTTGCACATGCTATGCAAATGTTTTACTTTTAAGCTATACCTTCAGCCCAGAAATTTAGTTCTAATTAGTCCAAATGATAATTAGACAGAAACAAAAGTAAGGTAAATACTTCATCTTTGAGTATGAGTAAAAAATTATGTACTTAAACTGTTTTTAATAAATAAAAACATTTATTTAATAAATAAATTTATTTAATAAATAAAAAGCATTAATAAATGCTTTTTGTATTTATTGGTCTTACCACTTTATTAATTCCAGAAAAAATCACCAAAATGAAGACTGCTCTAATTTTGCTCAGCATTTTGGGAATGGCCTGTGCTTTTTCAGTAAGTTCTTTATTAAAAACCCATAGTTTCTTTTTCCAATTTTGTCATTTTATGTAAAGAAAAAGATATGTAATAATTGAATTTTCTTTTAAACAGATGAAAAATTTGCATCGAAGCGTCAAATTAGAAGATTCTGAAGAAAATGGGGTACCTAACTTTAGCATACTTCTCTGGCCTGTAGTAATTCTCGATTTGTTGTACATTCATCATGAATATGACGTTAATTTTGTTTGCACAGGTTTTTAAGTACAGGCCACGATATTATCTTTACAAGCATGCCTACTTTTATCCTCCTCTGAAAAGATTTCCAGTTCAGGTAAGCAGAAGTTAATTTTCCTTTTCACCTATTACAGTTTAAAAGGGATCAAATTTAATATCAGAACACCTAAGTTCAACTCTCAATAAAATTGAGCCAGAGCAACTGCTTAGTATGGAAAACTTGTTTTAAATATGATAAAATAAAGTTTATTTCTAATTTTTATTTTAAAGTAGAGCTATGAACAGAGTAAAATCATCTGGGCCCAATCTAGGATGATATAATTAAAACAAATATCATGCTATAGTACGTTCAGGTGTTTTAGGAGACATGATGGCAAAACTGGTTCATTTTATCATTGCTGATGATTAAGACAGTTATGAGTTCACCAATTGTCATTACAGTTGAGTCAGTGCTGTCATACAGCTGTTTTACATCTTATAATTCAGAGTCCTCTAACTGAGAACAGGGAATTGACTTCAAACACCAAAGACTTAAAACAACAACCTTGGTAATCAATGGTAATTGCTTAAGACTTCCTGAACCTTTAACCTGTGTGGGTGACTAACACCATAGGTGATACATTGGAGTATAATTATATCACAAAGGTGGCCTAAAAATTGCAGAGAGAAATTCAGGAAGTGTACTAAAAAGCCTGTGAAAAAAATAAACCATCCTTAATGTTTGCAAACAAAAAGGAAAGTAACTAAAACTAAAAATAAAAGTTTCCATTTTTGCTGGGTTACCTGTGAAGAGGACTTTGACAACTGGAGGGTGTGGTGTTGATTTTAAATATACAGCAAACCAGACTTGCACTATTTTTATGACTATACAGTTAGGTTCAGAGCACCAATTATGCACCATTTGACCCAGGACTCCTGAGACACTAAAGGCAGTCAGGACGCTGAAAACGCTACCTCAGCACAGTGGCTTGGCATCATATCTCACCGTCTGTCAGGCTAACCCATCTCTAACAATGCTAGGAAATGGCAATCTTCAAGTATTCCTAGCACCATAATAATTATGGGGAATTTGTGTGGCCACAAAAATATGAGCATAAATGATACAAGAGCTGTGGGTTTTCAGAATTATCTTCCATTCCTTGGCTTACCTCAGGCCCAGAAATAAACACTGCTCATTTGGAAGTTTGTCCTCTTTCTTAAACTAAACAGAAACGATCTGGTCAGAAATGATGATAATAAATTCTAGTTTCTGATCAGATCCTCAATATTTCTGAAATATCTGATATTTAGTTATACACATTCCCACCTAGTTATTTTTATAGATACATATGTGTAGTCCAATTAAAAATTCCACAGTGAAATGATATTAGAAGTTAGTTCTTAGTATCAAATAGACTCAAAGGTCATACATCTTAATATACAAATTTTTCTCATATTATATTAATAAGGCTTTGTCTAAACTAATGTAGAATTTGTAAGATCATTATTTTAAAACAGATAGTAAAATACATTTCTTAATCCAACTGTCTGAAATGTTTATGACTACTCTCCTACTTTACAAAGTTTTATTTATCTGAATTAAATTAACTGAAGTCTTTAATATTCAAAATTGTCATCTCTAATTGCATTAAGCTGTATTGGCTTTGAAATTCATGTTTTATTCAAACAAATCTATGTTTATATACACTCATTTCTAAAATACCAACTTGCATGAAATATGTCATATGGATTACAAAGCTATCAGCAGCCTACTATAGTTTATCAATCTGCCAGACTATATGAAAGTATAAGTAAGCTTAATAACCTAAGTTGTTCTAGTTGAAAATTTATCTTTTATTATTCAAATGATATTTGATTGGCATGTGAACTCTTAGAGGGCAAGAATTTCTTCTTATATTTCTTTTACCTGATGCAGTTAAGATACAGATGTGGGTTTTCAGAACTGTCTTCCATTAAAGAAGTCTTCCATGTATCTATATATCTACATATCCTTCATATATCTATGTAAGTATTAGAATAAGTTCTGGAAGACCAGTAGGACCTAATGACAGATTGCTAAGAAGGTATAAATGAAAGAAAGGGAAAAAAGCAAATGCTAGTTTCAAGTTATTCCATATAGCTCATAAATGTTTCTCACTGCAGACACTGATGGAAGAGTGATGGGGTTGGGATAGGGAGAAAGCTAGAGGCAAGAAAGCATTGAAAATGGCTGAAACACCACCACTTAAAAAACAGCTCTGATTGTATAAATATACTATCTTCTATATTTAATTTAACTAACAAATAGAAATAGCTCAAATGTAATAATCTGCTGTATTTACCCTCTGGGCAAGGGAAGGCACACCATTAAGGTCATGGTAGTAAAAGGCAGGTCCAGTTATTCTTTTTTCCACTTGAGGTTGTTCTTGGCTCAAGGGGACAAGTAATCCCCTCCCTAGTGTGGAGGGATTACTTCAGATGTGGCCATCGGAAGAATTAGGTCAACAGGGACGACCCTGAGGAGGACAAGGATGTGTTGTCTCCAACCCAATGTCAAACCTATAGGTTAAAGTTTCTTCTGCAGTCATATTCTCCAAATGCAAGGTATGCAACTGATTCTCAGAAACAAAGCTGAAATTTGCAGGGCAGGAGAAGACAGAATCTGAAGTTGGGGAGCCATTTGATATCGGCTGGATGCAGAAAGGAAAGGGAAATTCAGTTTGGGTTATCTTTGGTAGGAAGACAAATAATTCCTTGTACTGTTTTGAAGATTCTCATAACAGATATCTAGATTTACATTTCATTTAAAAAACTAGTAAATTTTGGGCTTGAGATATGACTCAATGATAGAGTGCTTTTCTAGCATGCACAATGCTCTGGGTTTAATCCACAATGCCCTCCCTCCCACCACCACTACAAAAAGAGTAACAGCTCATTAACTTGTAATTGACTTTTTCATATACAGAATCCTTGATTTAATCTTATTCAATGCCAAGATCTTTAGAGGGATGGTTCTCTGTAAGTCTCCTAAATGAGTAAATGAATACATTTTTCTCCTATGTAATTTATCTTGTGTATATAAATTAACGTAATCTTTAAAATTAGCTTTAATTAAATTGATGGACACTAATAACACAAATTTAATTTCTTTTCTTTTTAAAATTTTCCATTTTTAATTGTTGTGCTGGGTGGGAGTACATTGTGGCATTTACAAAAGTTCTTTAAATCAGATATCTTTAAATCAAATTCTAATTTAGATTCACTGGGAACCTCATTATTTAAAAGAATCACCTAATTACGACTTATATATTGCAATAAGCTAAATCATCATTTTGTTTACGCTTTGCAGAGAGAAATAAAACAATGACCTCTGACTTAGTTTAAGATCTGCTTGATTTGTTGGGAAAAATCACAACTTTGGGGGTTTCTGCCTCTTTCTCTGAAAAATAAAAAGATTGGACCAAATCATTCCTTCATTCTTTCAGAATGAAACAGTTCTGTCATTCATTACTTGGTTTTTACATACAGAAATTTTCAGCAATTGTCAAGGCTTTGGGGATTGAAAGTAAAATATCCCAATTTACATCTTGATCATTGTAAAATGCCTCTTTTTCTCTCACCTCATTTCATGTATGCCCAATGGCCTCATATCTTGTTCACTAGCATAAGACCTTTCTAAGTAAATCAATCAATCAAGATGACAATAAGTAGTTCAAGTAAATCTTTGTGTGTATTTTATATTATTTTGATTAAAAGGAAATTTTAATGCTGTTGAGTATCTATGCATATATATATGCATCTATCTTTTTTAGGGAAATAGTGACTCTTCTGAAGAAAATGGATATGGTGATAGTTCAGAAGAGGAGGAGGAAGAAGAGGTAAGAAATTAGCATTCTTTTCATGACAAGCCAGGCAGCAAAAAAATAACAAACAAACAAAAAACTCCAAATAGGAAACTAGTCTACTGGTCTGGACTCAGCAAATAGCTGAGTTGACATCTTACCAATGGCCCACAGTCTTCTATTTTGGAAAAGTAGAATGTTATTTCAATTAGAATCAACTGAACAGCCTGTTTAAAACACTATTGCAGCTTGGGGTTAAAATTACCTTAAGTGGTACACAAAAGCAAAAGTGTCTCCAGTTTAAGTGGGAGAAATACCAAATCTGTTAAAAACAGCAGGAAATATTATTTATATTTAGGTGGTTATAACTTGATGGCAGAATACAAGTACATAGTAATCCTGAACCATGTGCTGAACTTTTAAAATTCAGCTTTGTCAGTGGTAGTGTGACAAGCTGATTTATATCCTGTATAGAAATACTGGGATGCATTTGCCTTCCATAATCTACAGGATAGGGTTGTTCTTTTTAATAGGAATTTAATGGGTTCTTTTGTCTACTAACAAAATTCATATTCTTATAGAAATGAAAATTTAAAGATGACTGTAATTCATCTACATATCTTGGAAATTGTACTATTATGTTTATAACTATCCCTCTTGCCTAAGGAAACATACTAATTAGGATGAATTTTTTTGTATAGTTAATTATAGTTGACTGGTTTGGGAACCGTCTAAATTTAGATATTTTAGGTGGTATTTATGAATAGAATATAACTGTCAAAAATGGAGCATGTATAAGTCTCAACTATCTTGAAAACAAAATGATGTGGGAACTTGAAAGACAATGAATTATTAGTTTGGCTTTTTAAAAAAGTAGCATTTCTAGTACCATAATTACATTAATAGCTTGAAGGAAGGCCTTCCAAGAATGGTAAGCTAGTACCAGGAAAAATGCCACATACTAAATCCCATGAAATTTTGGCTGGAGTTCATGTAGTAATCTTAAATAAGAACTAATCTAGGGTTATCCATTTAACTATAGGTATTTGCTATACAGCGATTGTAAAATTGACTTTACCACTAGATTTCCCATTCAGATTGCATACCTTTTGGCATGAGATCTTCATTTTTCTTTTTTTTTTTTTTTTTTTTGGTGGTGGTGGTTGAAGATGGAGAAAGGTTAAGCTCCCCATGGAGCTCTTATGAAATCATGCACACTCAAAATTTTATCCATCTCTGAACATTTATGATCCTCCCAGACTTATTTACAAACACTTCTTGACTCAGTGGACCATAGTTTAGAATTTATCTTTGGGGAAAGTACTGTGCTGGACCCTCCTTTGTATTTCCTCATACTGCCTTGCGTAATTTCTGATACATTTACAGTGCCCAGTAAATATTTGGTGGTTTTGTTTTGAAAGTTCAGAGGAATAAAAGCATCAAAAATCATTTAGTAAAAACAATCATGGAAAAGTGAGTGAATAAAACTGGGAATCTTTCATCATGAAGAAATTCTGGAATGACTTCTTCCCTAAAATTTAGTTCTCAATTTAGGTTAAGTAAAGAATCCCCAGGAACTGCATTTTCGTGAGGAAGGTACTTACCCATATTTTCTATTTGAAGAATATATGTTTTTCCCTACTCCTAAACTATTCAGCTTCACTTAAAAAGTTTTTCATATTGAAATACACATAATAAAATTATCATAATAAAATTGATTGCTCATTGAAATTCCAGAAAGTGAACACACAAGTAAAATCAGCACTCATATCAAAAAGCAGCTCATGCTTTGTACTCCACTCTGTTCATTCACTAACCCCCACCAAGGGCAACAACTACTTTGACTTCTAACAGATGAGTTATTTCTGTCTTTTTTGTATATTATATATACCTATATACATACATCTATATACGTAGGATTATATGGCATGCACTTTTTTGTATATGGCTTCTGCTCTCCCCTTCAGAGATTCATCCATATTGTTTTGTAGTTGTAGACAGTTCACTCTTACTGTCAGTATTTCATTATGTGAATGTACTACAAAGTACTACTTTTCTGATGAGTAGCATTTGGGCAGTTCCAAGTTAAGTCTGTTACAAAGAGTGCTGCTATGAACATTCTAGAACTTCTGGTAAACATATACTTTTGATTTCTGGAGGCCATTTTGTCTTACATTGAAATTTAGGAGTTAAAAGATATGTCTATGTTCAACCTTAATAAATGCAACCAAATAGTTTGAAGATAATGCATCAACAGACTGCTCTATCTTCCTTTTAATATCCTTAAATTAGGTATCTAGGACAAGAAAAGATGTTGTAGGAAGAAATGTGGAAGTTGGGAGATTGAGCCTTTAGTCATGACCCAGCAGCTAATTGCTATTTACTTGACTTCAGACAAGTCATTTATCCCACTGGATTTTGGATTTTTTCACCTGTGAGATGAGTGTGTTGCACCCAACTATTATAGACTCTTACTCTAAGAATCTTTCTAAGGCTGGTAATAATTTCTCCTGTTACCACCAAAAGGTTTAATCTGTGTTTGAAAGTCATAAAATGAAAAAAAAACATAGCATAGTGTTTGTAGGATATTAGACACAGTTAGTTTGGAAATTATTTTGGGGTGGACTCTGGTAGTACCAAGACCCTTCCTTGAAACTTTGAAGTTTACAAATTTGATGAAAAAAAAAAAAACCATTCTGCTTTAGTCATTTTGTTTTCATAATAAAGCAAGCTAAATCTGGGTTTTGTTTGTTTGTTTGGAGTCTTAAAGTTACCCTAATATAACAATCTTCTAAAAATACACTTAAAGTGCAATTTCCAGTACTCATTTAAAGTAAATTCTATATAGATAGGAAAACCTGACATTGAATATTAGGTATGAATTACATTGAGAGATTAGTTCAAAAACAAATAATTGCCTAACAGCATGGAATAAAAGCAAATGTTACAGGTCATGTGAGCATTCATTTTAAGAGGGGTAATTAAAAAAAACATATTCATGCAATAACATAATACACTCTGAGAATTTCTTGGTGTGTCTAATCATCTTCTTGGTCTAGACAAAGTGACTGATACCTTGAAAAATATCTTAAGTTGGTAAAATAGAAGGCAAAAATGACTAACACACTATAATGTGGTAAACAGAATGAAATACCTGAAGTTCTTAGAAATAAGAAGTGCAGATAGAGGCAGAGTGATAAGCGAGCTGAAGGATCCAAAGACTTTCCAAGCCATGCTTCCTACTATCAACCAATCTTAGTAATTTTCCAGCCAAAATAAGGTTTCTTGCTATGGATTATTTTCACCAGGAGACCTCAAATGAAGAAGAAAACAATGAAGACTCCAATGGAAATGAAGATGAAGAATCTGAGGCTGAGAATTCCACACTCTCTACTGTAACTCTTGGCTATGGGGAAGAAATCACTCCTGGAACAGAGAGTGTAGGGTTCGCTGCAATCCAGCTTCCTAAGAAGGTAGTCATTCCCCCAAAATCTTAATTCTGTATTCATTTCTCTACTGAATTCTAAGATTTTCCCAACACTGTACACCTAGTATTTTATATATCTTCATTAATTGATGGACAAATATAATTTCTCTGTTTAAAAATGAAGAAAGAGCTTCTCCCAGTCAAATTCTCTTCCCATGTTACTACACTGACTTTTATACATTATAGCAGAAGACGAAGGACAGGGATAGAAAAATGGTTCCAAGTTCCTGAGAGGTACCATTGCATTTCAGGGGAGAGGAATCCAAGAGAGTGAAGGTGAGTGGCAAAACTTTAGGAAGTGTACTCCAGTGAAGACTTAACAGGCACATCTCCCCCAATCAAAACCCTTTATGAAGGTACTTATTATGAATTTTTAAAACCTTCATCAATTCTTTTGTAAATTAAATTGGCTTCAATTTAAAATGGTATCAAGAACAAGGTTGTCACTACAGAGCACTGTACTAGATGAGGTGATGGCTTTAAGTATAAAGTTTTTCACACCTAGATTTGAATTCTTTCAAACCTTTTCTTTCAGGCTGGGGGTATAGGAAATAAGGCTACAAAAGTGAAGGAAAGTGATGAAGAAGAAGAAGAGGAAGAAAATGAAAATGAAGAAAATGAAGCTGAAGTAGATGAAAATGAACAAGGCATAAATGGCACCAGCACCAACAGTACAGAGGTAGAAAATGGTAAAAGCAATGGTGGTGGAGACAATGGGGAAGAAGAGGGCGAAGAAGAAAGTGTCACTGGAACCAGTGCAGGAGAAACCACTGCCACTATTGCTGGCTTTCAGACAACAACTTCTCCAAATGGTGGCTTTGAACCTACAACTCCCCACAGGAGGTCTATGGAACCACCTCCCCACCATTTGGCAAAACCACCACCGTTGACTATGAGGGAGAGTATGAACAAATAGGCAACAATGAGTATGACAATGGATATGAAGTCTATGACAATGAGAATGGGGAACCTCGTGGGGACACTTACCGAGCGTATGAGGACGAGTACAGCTACTACAAGGGGCAAGGCTATGATGGTCAAAATTACTACTACCATCAGTGAAGGCCCAGCCTGGGATGAATTCCCCATTCTTTCATGGCATCTGGCTGCCATTTTCAGCGTACAACTCAGGAAAGTGCAATATAATAAATGTGCATATTATGATGTGGAGTGGTGCTTCTGTTCCAAAGTGATTTTCTAAAATTGCTTCTGCGAGTAATGGCTTCTTGTTGCTTTTCCATGGTATGTTTCTGAAATGTCATTGCAAACCAGGGCCATTTATCAAGAAGTGCACCAATCCATGAAATGGAATTAGATTGTTTTAAGGTTGTAGCTCTATAAATGGCATTTGTAGCATGTTTGTACTATTGCTAACTGGCTAAACATACCCTTTGTACAAGAAGTACTTCTAGGAAGAGATTCATTGACATTACTGATACCATATGCAACAAATATGTAGTCCCTTAATCAAACTACCTATCCAACACTGTATATCAGGCTCAATTAACATCCTCTATTTTTATGTGACTTATATGCATATTCTATCTATGGGTTTTATCACCAATAAAAATGCAGTTCTTCAAGTGTGTTATAATTAAGAAGAAAAGGGAGATGTGGAGAATGCATAAAGGTGAAACAAGTGCGGGAGCAATTCAGCTAAGGGACAAAAGTTTATTTACACTATGGCTTAAAACTCAGAGAAATCGTAAACATTTTCTCCTGGGTATATTGGTATAACTAATATTTTGTCATAATTGTGGGCAGTATCAGCCATGTGTATTAGGGGAATAAATGACTTTTAATTACCAGACTTTAAAAATATAAATAAAAGACTTGTTAAATTTGAATTTCAGATGAAAAATGAATAATTTTTAGTACAAGTGTGCCTTAGGAATATTTGGCCTTTGTAAAATATTTGGGTCATACTTACACTAAGTGAATGATTCACTATTTTTCTAATTTTCAACTTTAACTGGGTATTCTGTATTTTTTCTGACAAGCTTACCCTATATCATTTGATATTAGGTGAGGTAGGCGATTGAGTGGGGTGACAAAATTCTTACACACACACACACACACACACACAAACATGCACACACATACACTCATATACACACATGAGGGCAGATGTGAAAGACTTAACAATTTATGTCTTTAACATAAACTTGAAAGTAAATTTTAAATGGGAGTGGTAAAGGGAAAGAAAGTGGGTAGTTGGAAGAAGCAAGAAGAGCAAAAATTCATCCATCTTTTTATTTTTTTCATAAGATACAGAGCCAATGTATGGACATTGAGCATATGAAAATGAAGAACTTTGTCCTCAGAGTGATTTTAGTTTGATAGCTACCAATTGTAAGATGTCACATATCCTTTTTTTTTTAATACTGCCAACCCTTCAAAAAAGTTGGAAGACTAGAACATAATTACTCATGCTGTACCTTTCACCTAGACTCAACAATTTTTAAATCAACATTTTGCCATATCTGTGTTTTCTTTCTAGTCTCTCTGTGTTAATGTGGGTGTGTATGTGCGTGTGCTTCTTTGCACAACCACTAAAGAGGAGATTGCAGACATGATGACGTTTCATACCTAATTACTTCAGCATTTAGTAAAAGAATGAAGAATTATTAGGGTATTAAAACTCATGCTTTAATCCTAGCACTCATGAGGCTGAGGCAGGAGGATTGTGAGTTTGAGGCCAGGCTGGGCTACATAGGGAGATCTTGTCTCAAAAAACAATAATAAAGATTTTCTTACATAGCCACAAAGCCATTCTCATTTTCTTCCTCCAGAAGTTTGGCATAGATACAAAAATTGTTCCTATTATGCAGTGTACATTGAAAGTCTGTCAATTATCATCATCGATTTTTATTGATGAAAGGACAGGGTCACAAAGAGACCAAAGGTGGCAGAATTGAGGTGAAACAGACTGGCCTAGGATCTATGCTCTTTACCATATGTACATCAGCAAAGATGGGCAAAAACATTGATGAGAACATTGCTGGAAAATGAGCCTTGTCCTACATCACAATTTGCTTAGAACGACCCACATTTTATGACTTGAACCCTAAAGAATATTTTCAAATTCAAGATCTTCTCATATTTTTGGTGTATTTTTCTATATAGGCAATTTGGTATTATACAAAGTGCCTAAGCTCTGGGGTCAGGTGGGCTGGTATTACCAAGAGGAAATTAACTTCCTCCCCTTGTCTTTAGTCCCTTTTCTATTATAACAAGGAAAATATTTAGAGGATTGCTGTTTATTCTGATGCAACTCAGCATCATCACATCTCTCCTCCCTTCTCCTCTCCCTTCCTTGTTCCATTTTAACCCTTACATGTACTGTCATGGAATTAATAAGGCATAAAAAGTCTTTTGAGAACTCACGGCATGCACTTTTTTCTTGCCATAATACATACATCTCTGTAGAGTGAAAGGTTTTGATGAAATTGAGGCCTTGTAAACAGCATTATCAATACTGTTTTTAAAAGAAGATAAGGAATCTTTGCGATTTATCTTAGTGGCACAAACTGTCTTGGTGCATCATAAAATCAAGTCTTAGATTTTGAAAAGATATTTAAAGTCTGCGAAGTATAATTATTCACTAATGACCAAAAGCTACTCATTTTTATATAGTAACTTCAGTCTCTTCCTTTTTGGTTTTGGTCTATGGAATATGGATTTGCACTCTTTACTTCTGGGATTTGAGTGACTGCCCCCAAGTGCAGAATGTTTCCTTACCATTACCTGAAGTGTCTAGGAATCTCCTGTAGTCTGGCAGATTTTCTGAGGGGAATTGGAAAAGCATGCACTTGGAGTGATCAACAGTGTAAGAGGAAATTTTTCTATCTCTGTCAAATAGCAGCTCAAGAGGGGAATCAGACAGTGGCCTGTAGACAACTGACTCACCCAGGGTCTGGGTGAAGGCAACACAAAGTTGATAATAAAGAAAGGGGGGATGGTGAGGGCTGTGATTTACATCAGCTCCTAGGGTCCCCAATAATGTCCCTCACAACGATTCTCTCAACTAATTCAAGCAATACCTCAAGCCTCATTCCTGTTGAAATATTTTTCAACATGCTGAAGTTCCAGGTTCTTTACCCTGTCTTAGCTTGCTAGCCCACTGGCCTCTTGGTAAGCCCCTTTAACCTTCCCCATCAGAAGCTCCATTTCCTGTGTTCCCGATAGTTTCCCTTGATGGTCCACATGGAAGAACTCTGGTGAGAATTCACAAAATTAGAAATGAAAGAGAAATGTTTTTATTCTGCCCAAGGAGTGTTAATATTTCCTCTGAGAATGAATCAAATTATTTATATGAATGGAGAAAAGATGAAGTCAAAACAATCTATGATCATAGCTGAAGGGAAAATGAAGTTGGATATTTGCATTCTGCTACTCATAGAAAATTCTTTTGTCATTGTTCATACATCGAAGTCAGCCTGCAGCTGTAGCAGAGCTCCTAGATATCTCTTAACATCCCTCTTTCCCTCAGGAATTTAGAACTCTTTCTTTTCCTGGACATGTGGCTTCTGTTTCCTTTGGTTATTTGACTTAAGCTATTTAAGTTCTGTCCGTGTGTACATGTAGTGTGTACAGTTTCATGGTTGCGTCCCTAAAGTGAAGTATTATTCTTTTTGCCCTTACCACAATTTCACTCTCCTTCTGGGCGGAATTCAGCCACGAGGGGAGACACCTGTAGTGGTATAAATGAAGGGAACAATTCAGCATGGTAGGTGAAAGGTAGAGAACAGTCTGAGTCCCTGAAGCACCACACCAGCCCTGGACACCCAGCCTCTGGAAATAAACTTGTATTTTTTTTAAGCTACTATGAACACAAAAATTTATTTCTTCTAACTATGCCTTGGTTGCCATTCTCTAACCTTTCTCTATTTTTCCTTCCTCACCCTTCCTAGTTTCTGTGAATCACTATTCTACATTCAGATTGACATTTTTTTAGATTCCACATATGAAAGAGAACATGAAGTATTTATCTTTCTGTGTCTGGCTTATTTCAGTTAATATAATATCTTCCATTCTATCCATTTTTGCTATAAATGACAGAATTCATTCTTTTTGTGGTTGAATAATATTCCATTGTATATATGAACCACATATATTTTTTCAAATTATTTTTAATTTTTTTGTTGTGCTGGGTGGGGATACATTGTGTCATTTACAAAAGTTCTTACAATATATCAAATATATCATACTTGAATTAACCTCCCCCCTCCACCATTCCTGAAATAGTTTCAACAGTTATCATTTTTTACATTTACATACAAGTGTTTGTTACACAGTATTTGCACTATACTCACCTCCTCCCCCCTCCCACTGGTACCAACCCCACCCAAGGCAGAACTTGTTCTGCCCTCCTGTTCTCTTATTTTGTAAAAGAAAAAAAAATGACATTTTTGTTTGTTTAAGATAGCTACATAGGGAATTTCCTTGTGACATTTCCATGCGTACATGTATAATAACCCAAATTGGCTCATCTTCTGTATTTTTCTTCTTTCTACCTTAGTGACTCCTTATGGTGACTATGACAGGTTTAAAAATTCTGTATTCATTCTTGTATAGAGTACATCAACCATATCCATCTGCTTAACTTCCTTCTTTTACTCTCCCCTTCTCACATGTGAAACTCTTTAGCATGATCTGTTTTTCATAATATTGATGTATTTGTATTAGGTCTATATTCTACAGGGTGTGACTTTTGTCCTTCTGAATCTGGCTAACTTCACTGAAGATGATGTTCTCCACTTCCTTCCATTTACCTGAAAACAAAATTTCATTCTTCTTTGTGGCTGAATAGAATTCCATTGTATATAAATACCACATTTTCTTAATCCATTCATTAGTAGTGGGGCATCTTGGTTGTTCCCATAACTTAGCTATTGTGAATAGTGCTGCAATAAACATGGATGTGCAGGTGCCTTTGTTGTGACCTGACTCACATTCCTTTGGGTATATCCCCAGAGTGTAAGCTGGATCATATGGCAGATCTATTTTTAGTTTTTTGAGGAGCTTCCATACTGTTTTCCATGGTGGTTGTAATAATTTAC